TGCCCAGCCTGCAGGGGTATAGTCTGCACGGAAGGGATCTGCTGCGAAGTCCCCCGCTCCAGCCCCCTCCTCGGAACCTAGACCGTGCCCAAGAGCCAATTTGAAATCTTCTGGATGAATGAAAGTAGTCAGTCTGCACCTGACCACACCCAATTCTACCCCCTGCCTGCTGCACCCACCAAAATTTCCAGTGTAAACACCTCTTCACTTTTCAAGTTTAAACTGTATCCCCAACGCAGACCAAAGTTTTGCTACTTGTTTTGTTTTGCTTTGTTTTGCTTGCTTTTTTATTTATTTATTTTTTTCTTTTTATTAAGACTGGGTCTCACTATGCAGCCCTGACTGGCTTGCAATTCGCTATGTAGACCAGGCTAGCCCCGAACTCAATAGCGATCCCTCTGTCTCTGCCTCCTGAGCACTGGCATTAAACATGTACGCCACCACACCCAAGGAGGAGAAGGTTTATTTAGCAGATGGACTCCGCTTCTTCTGCGCCTCTCTAGTCCCACACACCAGCAGAGCCTGCCGGCCTCCTGAGGAGCCAAGCATCTCCTTCCACCACCAGACTCTGCACCCCGAAACAGCTCACCCTCACCCTCCAAGAGCCTCGGTCTTCTAAACTTGGAACGGGATCTGGGGGACAGGGCTCGGATTCCCCTTGTCTTTACAGAAACCTTCTCTTTCTTGACTTGTTTGTAACAAATGTGCCTCGGGAGAAACTGATTGCCGGGAACTAAACGATGCCCCCACCATGACACTCCATGAAGAGTTAACTCTGCCTCTCCTCGAACAGCCCAGACTTCCTAAGCTTCGGTTCCCATCACCTGCCTCATTGCCATTGCCCTATCCTCAAAGGCTCAGAAAACCAATTAGACTTTCCTCCCGCTCCCTACCAAGCTTCTTTTCCCCTTTTCCCGGGTCCCCACCTTCCAAGCCCCACCTCCACGCCCCCGCTTCCCTATCGGCAACCTGTTCTCTGTCCACAAGAGGGCGATCACTCCGTACCCCAAAGAGTCAACAACTGGGTGTGGGCGATGACATTAGGTGTACTTTTCCAGAGTCACCGACTAGAACCAACGCTGAGCCGTGTAGGGGGAGCTCGGCCCGGGGACCCTCTCGCTGGGCCAACAGTGCGGTGAGACCAGAAGGCAACTAGAGAAGGAAGCCACTGCTACTGTTTACTAACCCCTCACCCGATGCAAGAAAAGTCCACTTAATGCCATGTGGTTGGCTGGAGAAGGTGGGGGAGATAAGAAGAGAAAACGGCTATGGTCTCCACATGAAGTCAAGATCTTTTCCCCTCAGGTTTTGGCCAGGATGTTGCCCAACTTGGATTAGGCATTCCGAGGAGGATTATCAGCAAACGCTATCTCCATGACACCCAGACAAATCACAGCTTTCCCTACCCCTATGATTTAAGCCTTAATGTACACAGTAGACAGTAACTCAATTGGCTATCTGCTCTGATGGGAACTGCGGACTCAACTGGCTTCCAGGGGAGTAGCCCCGTGAGTCACTCTGCAGGGACAGGCTGGGTCAATATTGACAGAAAGACCTGAGACTGCATTTGGCGTGCCTAAGAACCCCAACTCTGCCTTGTTTGTGGGCACCTCATGGATCACAGGTTCATGGAGCTGCCAGCTCCTCAGGTCACCACCCTAGCAAAAAGGACCCTACATGTGAAAGTAGGGACAGACTCCTGAAGTGTGCCCCACCTCCAACTGGAACACAGGCAGCTGCAGAGAACTCTGTCATCCTGGGTCGCCTCACACACCCCAGATGTGCCCTTCCCCACCCCTCCCTCATACAACACACAAACACACAGTGAAAAGGTGGATGGCCCAATGTCAGGGCCCATCTAGTACTTCCCCTCTTGTACGTCTCCTCTCACCACACCCAGACCAAAGCATGTCTTCCAGGAGATGACTGGGGTCTTACTGCCCTGCTTCTAACGGCCACACCGCAGACCCTCTCTCCTGGAGATCACTCAAGCCTGTGTTTAAGGTGACTTTGCCTAGCCTAAAGACTCCTGGTGAGCTAGCAGACCTTGCTTGTCTGGGTAGGTCAATGAGCTACTCTCAAAGATTAACTGTAACTAAGACGGCCCAATGGTGAGTTCAGCAGCAAACCAGGAAGCAACTGGAAACCAGTGGGGAGCCAGAACACAAGAGTAGACGTAACAAAAACAAAATATTTATTGTACAATTACCCACCAATGGATTTGACTGAGATAAGCATCCAGAGGGCATCTCTACCTTCCCATTTTACTTGAGAGCTTCATTATAGAGCAAAGCCAAAGCCCCCAGGAAGGCGACATACTCCTGGAAGTTTACTTCCTGATCCTTGTTGCGGTCCAGGTCGTCCATCAGCCTTGCAATCTCAGCATCCTGCAGCTTCTAATACATGAGAAAGAGAAGTCCACACTCAGTGGTGGCCAGCACCCCAGATTCCTTACGCCTTCCCTGGAAGCCCTTGCTCATGCAAGTGTCTCTGCTCATGGTCACCAAGGATGGGCCTTCGGCTTACGTTTACCTTTGTTTAATTCTCCTCAGTCCCTGCTCCTCCCTCAGGGGATAGGACAGCAGGCTGGGGGCATGCAGGCTTCTCTCCAAGGGAAGTAAGATCAGGAACTGTGTCCACCAGGATGGATAGAGGTGGGAGGGGGGAACCCGGGCAGGGGCTACTCACAGAGCCGATGGTGAGCTCCTTCTGGATCAGCTCCTTCAGCTCCTTCTTGCTCAAGGTGTGCTTGTCACCCTCCTTGCCAGAGTACTTGTGGAAGATGGCTACGAGAAGGCCGATGGCCTGATCCAGGGGGCATGCCATAATTGACCACTGGGCTAGAAGAGGCTGTTGGACGGAGGGGCTAATCAGTGCTGCTGGTAGCAAAGACTTCTCCCATCATCCCCTAAGCCGGGTGACTACATATCTGAACCAGCCAGCCTCAAGCCAACACAGGTGGCAGCCCAGAGCAAGTGGGGCCAGGGATGTAAGGATGGAACCGACTTTGGGGTGTCTGAACACTGTCTTCCAGGGCTTCCAGGAGAGCTGGATTATGACTGAGCAGAGGAAGGGATGGAGGCTGCCCCTAGGCATCTCCTGACAAGGCCACACACTGCGACGGCAATGACACACACCCAGGACAAACCCTCCAGCACCCCAGAAGAGCAGACTCAGGGAGCCGCCCCAAAGGGATGCTTTAGCCTCGGGGACTGCCTGGCATAACCCAGCTGATCCTGACTCTCCCAGCCTCCTCCGGACTCTGCAGACTTAGATCCCAATGCAGACCACCCGCGGAGCCCGTAGGGGAGCCCGTAGGGGCTTCACACACACACACACACACACACACACACACACACACACACACACACACACACACACACACACCCCGCCCCCAGCCAGAGCAGGTTGACCCTAGAGGGACCTAGGGCTGCCCCGGCAAGAGCTCCGCGGAGCCCGTAGGGGCTTGACCCCACCCCCTCAGCTCAGGAGCCGGCTGACGGTAGAGGGACCTAGAGCTGCCCCAGCAAGAGCTCACCGCACCGTAGACAGCAAATGAGCCAAAGCAGTGGTCGAGGGGATGGACTGTGTCGCAGTCCGGCAGGTCTTATAGCTGCCAGCATCCGGGAGGCCCGCCCAAGGAGTGCCGGCCCACCCCAGCCCCACCCGGCGCCTGAGGCTAGCAAAACAGAACCCCAACCCCCTCAGTTTTCCACGCCTCTGCTGCCCGGACTGTCCCGGATTGGGAGTGGCATGAGGGAGCCTAGTCACCCCGGTCCAGGAAACCAACGAAAACCGGAGACATCGGGTTTTCCTCATTTCCATAGTTCAGTTTGCCCTTCTGGCACGTGACTCGTGACTCTGGCATGTTTGCTGGGCCATCTGCCAGCCAGAGCACAATGTGTCCCTAAAGTTAGCATCAGTGTGAGGGGGGGTGGGAACCTCACCGATGCTGAAGGAAGGGAAGCAGCCAGTGGTCTACCAGATCGTCTAAGACAGTGGTTCTCAACCTTCCTAATGCTGCAACCCTTTAATACAGTTCCTCATGCTGTGGTGACCCGCCCCCCCAATCATAACTTCATAACTGTAATTTTGCTACTGTTATGAATCGTAATGTAAATATTTGTGTTTTCCCATGGTCTTAGGCAAGCCCTGTGAAAGGGTGGTTCAAACCTCTCCGCAGGTTGAGAACCACTAGTTTAAGACCTGGGATCGAGTTCTGTAGGTTGATCCCGGGAGGCAGAATTTTGAGCCAACCTGGGCTATAGAAGACCCTGTCTCAAAAAAGGGGGGGAGAGACACAGTCCAAAAGATTTCAGACACCATTCCCCCACCAAAAATAAATGTCTATCTAACACCATCACTGGCTTCCTCGCGGACACTGCCTGGGATTTCACGGTTAGAGCAGCTTACATATTAATGTGCACACAGTGGAGCCAAGCCCATCCATCGGGCATGCTTAGTTACTCATCTTAAGTGAAAAGTTTTGAACGTTTTCTCCTGAAGGAAAGTCTTGAGAAGAGGAAGCTGGAGGAGGAGGAGGAGGAGGAGGTGTTAGCCTCCTGAAGTCACTCAGATGTGGGAAGGGTCCTAAGTCTGGGCCTCCCTTTTTTACTGGGGCTGCCAGAGTGGCCTCCTGTGGGTTATGCCCCACATCAGACCAGTGGGGCCATCCCTGTACTAGCCCCACCCCCACCCCCACCCCAACTCCGGCCTCCTTGTTCCCCAAGCGCTTTTTCTCACAGCTTCCTCTGCATCTTTGCTGCCCGGGGAAGCATGCAAATGCCTGGGACAGCTTTGTTATTTTACGGGAGTGCAGGACAAAGCCAGGGCATGTTCAACAGTGTCCACAACAAAGGACAGTCAGTGGAGTGGGGTGAGAGCCCACCCTTTGTCCCCACAGGCCGCCAGTGTGGGGCCTGAGGCCAAGCGGCTCAAAAAAACATCTGTTTGTACTCCCCTGCCTCAGCCAATGGAGACAAACCATCTCAAAACCAACACATGGAAAGGAAAAGACTTTATTTCTCTACTGGAAGAGCCCATCTGTGAGAAAGAGAAAGACCAGGGGCATAAGAGGGGCCGTTAAAGAGGCGTCAGAGGACAGGACAAGGAGCTCCCGGTGAGGTGAGAGAGGACCCTGGTCACTTGTTGTCCTCTAGGAAGAAGTCATTGTAGGCCATGCACAGTGTGGTCAGGAACACGGAGTACTCCTTGAAGTCGATCTCCTGGTCGCTGTTCTTGTCCAGGCTCTTCATCAGGTTATCAATGCTGCTCTCCTTCATCTTCTGCAAGGGCCCCGGGGAAGGAGACTGCTCAGCCGCTTGGCCCCAACCCATACCTTTACCACAGGACCTGACACCAAATAGGGGTCACGGACCCGAGTGCTGATTCTAAATGAATTACCTACCGTAGGAAGGCTAGTCTAGCCTTTGCTCCTGGGACATCCTCCCATCCAAAGAAAATATGATCTATAATCTATACAAATGCCTACTAAAAACAGGTTGAGTCCTGGGCTCTGCAGCCATGTGCATCATCCAAGTCCCAGACTTAGACTGCCTGTGTTGCTGGAAAAGGACCCAGACATGACTATATACTTCTCTCTAAGATCAGCACACTGGAGCTGAGAAGCCAGCATGCCCCCAGCCCCAGCCTGGCACTGAATGTCTTCCCAGTTTGGTCCCTGCACCCTGGCTTCTCTAGGAAGTTCTACTTAGGGTAGAACAAGCAGGCAGACCCTGCTCTCCCTCTATTGCAATCAGTTCCAGGTCTCCCTTGGATACAGGATGTTGATGCCCAGGATGCTGGAAACAGCCTCTCTGTAACATGACCCTGGTCCCCAGACTAGGCTCCTCCCCTGGGGCTCTGTCCCCCAGTAATTAGCACCTGATGGACCAGTGGCCTTTCCCTCTACCTTCATTAACTCCAGGACCGCAGAGTGGTTTCTGGTATTGAATATACACATGCCAGGCCGGGCATAGTGGCTCTCAGGAAGCAGAGGCAGGTGGGTGTCTGCGAATTGGAGGCCAGCCTGGTCAGGAGCTACAGAATGAGTTCGAGGACAACCAAGGCTATACAGAGAAACCCTGTCTCAAAAAGAAAAGAAAATGTGTATGCCGTGGTGAACTTCATGTGCCTTAGGGGAGCCACAGAGAGGCCTGGGGACAGTGACATCTGCTTCACCCCTACCCATGGACATACTCCAGGAACCTTCTTCCTGGGGAAGCAATGGGATTTGGGACTTTATTGTAAAGACAAATAGGAGGTTAGTACAGAGGCCTAGCCTGGAATTCCAGCTCAGCCTCAATGGACAAGTTCTCTGATGTATTTGAGGCTCAGTGACTTTATCTTACAGACCTTCAAATTAGTCAGCCACCCCTCCTATCATGTCCATCTAATGGGAACCAGTGGGCTCTCCTTCCTACCCCACGTTCATAAATCAGTCTGTTTACTTGACAACATCACTTAGGACCTTGGCTGTGCCGGGCACAGAGGAGAATCAAGAAGAATCCCTATCCTTGAGTTATACACAGCCAAACCTGGCACCCACAACCCTCAGACCCTCAAGATCCCTAACACAGGCTATGCAACCCATCACCAAAGTCTCCTTTATCTGATCCCGTAGGCTCCCAAAGGCAGAAGCGCACCCCAGACTCACTTCCTTTCCAGTGAGACTGATTCATCCCCCAGCACAGAGGTCTACAGCCGTGGTAGCCGGAGATGCCGACCACTCCCTCTGTCTCTGGTCCTTCAGCCATCCTGATCCTTGCTTAGGCTAGAGTACCCTGCAATAGGTGGGCATCTCCCAGAAGGGGTGCTCAGAATGTGTAGTGGAGTGTGACAGAATGGTCACCTACCTCTGCAAGACTCAGTTCTGTCTTGATCAACTCCTTCAGTTCTTTCCTGCTCAGGGTCAGCTTGCTCCCCTCTCTCCCTGAATATTTATGGAACGTGGTGACCATGGTGGTCAGGGCCTTCTCGAGAGGAGTCTCCATCACGATGTGCACTCTGGGGTGAGAGAGGGGACCATCATGGCACTGGAGAAGCTAGACTTGCCCCCTCACCAGTCATGCCCAAAGACCCTCTTGGCAACCACCATTGACAGGTGAGACCCCCCGTGAGACCACATTCCATCCACAAGAAGATCGCTGTACCTATAGACAGGTTATCATGAGAGCCATGACGAATACTGGCAGCCAAAGCAGTGAGAATGTCCAGCCCCCCAAAGGAGGCTGTGGGCTTCCCTGATCAAGGATGCTGACCAAGAGATCCAGGAGCAAAGAGGGTACAGGACCGCCTCTTCAGAAGAACAGGATCTTTATCTTCCCCCACACAGTTTAGGTTCTGGCTTTCCAGCCACGGTTCCCACCTAGTTCCCTCCTCTCTCCAGCCTCTGAGTCACTTTAGACGAAGGAGAGGTCTCATTGTAAGGGTGTGGGGGCAAAAAAAAAAAGGAGTCCAGGAGTCAGAGGGGGTTGGGGCTGAAACTGGGAGATAAGATCTCAGCAGGAAGCAGGAGAGAGGTGACTGGACTTGCCCAGTGACCTCCAGTCTACTGCCCAGAGAGCTTCACCCATTGCCTGATAGGGGCAGGGGCGGGTGGGTATGGACACGGCCAGGATCTTATGAGATATGGCTCTAGAGGCGTAGCCACTCCCCAAAAGAGCAGACAGCTGGAGCTTGTGGAACTCGGGCTTAAAAACCACTTCCCCTTAAAGAGGAAGGAAACAAACCCACAGTGGAGGCTTCTGCAGATCCTGGGGAGAACCCTGAGCTGGGTAGGAGGGTGGGGACTCCTACCTTACTCCTACGTCCAACCCAAGAAGTTCTTGAGTTGGACTGAACCCATCATCATTCATCCCCTGCCACCCAGACTATCAGCTTCTCCCCGCCTCATGGATGCTCAGCCGGACCAAGGAAGGGACGCTGAGCATCTGCTGGAACGGAACGTCTTGCGGATCTCACTCTACACCTCCTCCCTCGCTTCCCTCTCTCCCCGAGACAGTGTCTCACCATGTGTCCTAAGATGACTACTCTCAACCTCATGATCCTCCTGCCTCAGCGTTCCTGCTCCTAGGATTGGATTCTCAGGAAATCCTGACAGTCACAATTCCATGTACTCTGCCCTCTCCTCCCTAAGTACACTCCCACTTGTGAGGCCACATCCTTGTGGAGGCTTCCACATCCTGTTGCACTCTTCCTAGCCCAGGCTGGTGCAGCAGAAATGAAGGTCACCTGAAGGAAGGACTCACCAAGGAAGAAGTAAACCTGGAGGATCCAAGCTGCAGCCACAGCCTCCCTGCCAGCGCCCTCCGCTTTTATTCCCTGGTCCCCAACGCCCAAGGGAACCAGGAGGCATGGGGCCAATGAGCAGGGATCAGAGATGTGAGGAGTTCCAGAAAAGGTTGAAGGGAACCCCCTCTGGAAACTTTGACTTGCTGTTTACCAACAGGGCTGGAGGTGGCACGTGATGTGAACCAAGGCGTACACATTTTCGATGCCAGAAACCATTTTTTCCTACTAAACCTCACCATCTGGTGAAGCAATTGGCTGAAAAAAGGCAAGTTGGACTCTCCAGAAAAGAAACAACAGAAAGTGTGGCCCAAACACGGGGTCTCTCTCCCCACATCCGAGGCTCCTCTCCACGTGGAGACTCTCCATCCTCACACACTAGTCCAAGAGCACAAGGGACCCATCTTGGGATGGGATCAGGGAAGGAAGACATTTCCTGCCAAGGACAGTCAGCTAAAGTCACTAGCTAACACAAGGTAAAAGATGGTAAATAACTGTCAGAGACTCCTGGGTTGGAGGACTACGAATCCGGGCTTGGGGAAGAGGTTCAAAGAAAGGCTCAGGACTGGACTGGGACTGGAGACTGGGGAAGAGGCTCAGGCTTAAGGTATAGTCATGTATGGCTTAGGGGTCCAGGTGAGTGTCCTGTATGCTGGGGACACTCACACTGACTAGGAACAGAATTTGGTTATGGGTATGTATATGTGTATATATGTATATATATATATATATATATATATACATATATATATATATATATATAGGCACAGCCCCTAATCCTGGCTGAAGTCCCACCCTAGCCTGCCTAGTTCCTCTCCACTGCCCCCTTGCCATCCCACCACAGCTAGAATACTAGTGATGCAGCTGGGACTTGTCTCTAAGCAACGGCAGTTTCCAAAAGCAGAGAATGATGCAGGACGAGGCTCCAGGGACCACACTCCCATGGAAGATGGGCGGACTGACTGGGAGTGCAAAAAAAAAAAAGAGAGAGAAGACGGGCTGAGCCTGGACCCAAGTCTCCATAGTCAAACTCCAAGGGAACATCTGAGTCACCTACCCCACTCCTCCGAGGCTGGAGAGAAAAGCACGATATGATGAGAAGGGAAGCCTGAGGTCAAGAGGAGCAAACCTGCCCGCCCTAGGGCAGCTTCTGTGTACCCCTCCTTAAGCACCCTCACATCACCCAGGCAAGGGCTTGACGTCCAATCTCAGTCCCATTCTCTGCACCCTGGAACCACTAACCCTAAGGGGAAGCAGTAGCTGCCTCGTGTTCTAGGGGTGAGAGAGTGAGGAGAGGGGGATCTCGATTTTCTTTACCAGATTGTGTGGCCAAAATTACATCTCTAAAACTATGGGCACCTCCTCCATCATCTCCTTCGATCCCACCTGGCCACTACCCACCTCCCACGTATTCTCCTTGAGGTCCCTTGTCCCCTTCTAAGCAACATGATTCTTAGTAGCTCTTGTTCCACAGCCCTTTGAGGGCTGAGACAGTATGTTAAGAGAATGGCTATTTCAGTCAGCCATGGCAGCACACATCTACAATCCCCAAACTCACCGCCCTTCTTCATCTAACCATGAACAGAAAAGGACTCATCCACTGTTTGAAGCCCATGAGCTGGAATGGGTGACAGGGCAAGACCTGGACTGTAAATGTCAGGGATGAGTGCCAGTCCACCTCCCCATCCTTCTCTGGCTTCAAGACTCCTTCCTTGTGACTCAGGCCTGTTGTCTTCCCTCCAGACTCCAACCAGCAACAGATGTGACCTTCAATCCCATCCCAACTTCAGCTTGAGCCCAGAGGCGCTTCTGGAGAGAGGAGGGAGGGTGGTGGGCTGGCTAACATCCCACATCTGGAGCCTTTCAAGCCAAGCCTCTGGTGGCTTCTGCCATAAGTGTTCCCAGAGCTTGCTTTGTTGCATGTATGTGGGTGGGCATGCGTGCGCGCACGCGCGCGCACGCACACACACACATACACATACACACACACACACACACACACACACACACACACTTGCATGCACACTAAATCAGCCATTCTACTCCCCCTCAACCTTTTCTGGTTTTGTCCCCACAAAGCTCCAGCTCAACTCCCGGCAGTCCCTACCCCTGCCCTGTGACACACCCTCCCTCGGCCCTCAACCCACAATCTCCAGTCCCTTAGGCAACAGCTCATAGTTTCAAAACTCTTTATTGAACTTGCTCAGCATTGTGCACATGTATGAAGAAGCCAGAGTAAGGCACTATGCTCAGAAGCAATGGGGAAGATCTCCACCAGCCCCCTCCCGCAGACCGCACCCCACACTTCATCGGAGGAGTCTTCACTTCTTGCGGGGTTGTTTATCTGGGAAGTCTTCAAAGAATTCATTGCACATCATGGCGATGCAGGACAGGAAGATGCAGTATTCCTGGAAGTCTATTTCGTTATCCCTGTTGCTGTCCAAGTTGCTCATCAGCTTCTGGAATCCAGCTTCATCCGTCCTTTTCTGGAGGTAGAAGAGGCACAATTAGAAGCCAAACCCGAGCTAGATCTCTGCCTCCAGCCAGGAGCTCCAGAAGGCCTCCAGGCACTCCTTGGCAGCCTTGGGGCTAAGCTATGTAGAGGAGGACGCTCCTGGGATGAGCACTTGGGGTAGCTTGGGAAGGGTGGGACCACATCTTCCGGATGCTTGCTTTAATTATCTCGTTAGGTAACAGCCGTGACCGTGAAGCATCGGCTAATGCAAAGTGTTATTGAGGGGCGGGTCTGCAGGTATTCGTGTGCCTCCATAATCGTGTCTTCACAAACAGAAACTCAACTTCTCTTGCCAACAGTCCTGATCCAGGCTGCAGTTTCAGACACTGACTACCTTAGGCAGTTGTTTTGGTTTCCCTATATCTCTTCAGTTGTGGTCATTCTAAGCCTTCTCTCAGCTGAGGGAGGGCTAGTGAGAGGTAGATGCTTCACTGTGGTTTCACACCAAGCACCTGGAGCAAGTTCTCTGGCCTCCATCTCCCCAGCTAGGGATATAGGCCAGTGGTAGCCAGGCACTGCCTCAAGGCTGGTGCCTACCAGAGCCCCATCCTCCTCCTGGGGATGCACCACACATGAAATACACAGGCAGGACCCACTCACCCCCAGGAAGCTAGGCAGCTCCCTGGTCAGCAGCTCCTTCAACTCCGACTTGTTGAGCTTGAACTTATCACCCTCTTTGCCTGAGTATTTGTGGAAGGTAGACACCATCCTATCCAGAGCTTCTTCCAAGGGGTATGCCATGGTGACAGATGAGACCTAGAGGCAGGAGACACAAAGGTAGCCTTTCCCAACCCACACCAACAGTGTTTCAAGAACTGGCTATGTGGCGTTGTACTCATAGACTCATTCTGCCCCCATTTTAAGTGCTCCATTCCAAACTACCCTCCAGGAGCACTTCAGGAGACTGCCCTCATTGCCCCAGAGGAGTGGGGCCCATCCATGGCAAGAGGGTCATGTATGCTTTGGGCTCTGAAACCTTCAGAGCCTACCACACAAGCTCTGGAGGTTCGCGCCAGCAGCTTTTGGGGGCCTCCCTCAGCCCTGGCCTCAACAACAGCAGTGTTCCATCCCTCACTCAGCTCATTCACTCCCACGACTCAACCACAAGCACCAGGCTCTGACCCACGCTTCTCCCTCCCGGCATTGGGCGCGGCTGCTGGCTGCCTGCCCAGGGCCCTACAGCGGAAAAAACCCAGCTGCCTGGTGACCAGCTTCGGGAGGAGCGAGATGGGGTGGCAGAGGTAGGGGCATAAGCGGAGGGTGGGGAAGCCGGGCTCTCTTGGCCTTGGGTGCTGCTACGTGTCCACAGGGCACCAATATGAACACAAAACCCACTATGAACACAAAAGCCTACAGAGGGACGGATGCTCGAGAGACGGCTTAGTGGGCAGAGGTGCTCGCCACCAAGCTTGACGGCCTGAGTTTGATCTCCGGAGCCCGCACGGTAGAAGGAGCAGACTGACTCCCACAAGTTGTCCTCTGACCTCCACAAGTGCGCCTCGGCATGAGCCCCGCACCCCCAACCCACACCACGCGTGCACACAAGTAAATAACTGTAATTTAAACGTTAAAAAGCCTACAGGTTCCTTCGCTTGGCTTCCTGCACCTGCTTCCTGCACACATTGGCTTGACTGTCAGGGTACCTATCCACGGCTCCCGAACACAAACATACGCTGCAGCATCTCAGAAACTCTTGAGAGTTCAAATGCCATCTATACACTCTTTTTTCGTTCTTGTGCAATACACACACACACACACACACACACACACACACACACACACAGGAGCCTCCACATCAGAATCTCTCATCTGGATCTATTAAAAACATCTGTCTCCCCAGCAGCCTCCCTTTCTCCTGTCCCAGCCTCAGCCGCTAACACTGCTATCAATCAGGCCAACCCAACTCACCAGACCCAGAGAGAGGAAGTGCTGAACAGAGAGGTTTGGGGAGAGCCCAAATGTCCGCCCTATTTATACCCCGCCAGGCCCTGCCCCTGCAGGGGATGGGGGGGGGGAGCATGGATCCTGTGCTCCTGCTGTTGGTTGATGTAGTAAATGTCACAGCCCCCTCCACCAGCCCCCTCCACCAGCCCCCTCCACCAGCCCCCTCCACCAGCCCAGTCTGGGAACCAAGCCTCCTGCTCCCCAGCAGGCACAGGCCAGCAGTGAGTGAGCCCCAGTGGGCACAGCAGAGACCTGAATGGTGTGGCTACCACCCAGTAGCCGCAGCTCAGTCCAAGTTTTAGGAAGTTTTGAGAAGTGGCAACCTGGGCATGGGATGTGGGCCACAGGAAAGGAGATGGAGAGATGATGGGCCAGAGGTGGAAAACTGCCCTGGGAATGTGTGGCCCTGGAATTGGGAAGGTGACCCCAGCCAGTGGGACAGAGGGTCAGCCCTTCTCTCCAGCCTAAACATCGTTCTGTCGTGATCAGTAAGATCCAGGATGAAGACTAGCAAGTCAGGAGAGGCCTTGGGACCACCCCAGGTATTAAGTAGGAAAGATGCATAGGAGGTCTTGATGGACTTAGGGCCGTAGTGAGGCCTGGAGGATCATGAATGGGTGGGAGGTCCAGTGAGGGTATCAGGGGTGATGGGGGCATTCAGGGTTGAACACTCAGCTTAGAGAAGAGAGTTAGAGGAGAAAGAGATAAAATGGGGAGTCAGGATTAATCTCTAAGGATGGGGTACAAACACGGGAATTGAGTGAGGGTCAGAAATGGTGATTTGGGGCCCTCAGGGGGCTGTGGTTTCAGAGATAGGGACCCTTCCCCCTCCAATCAATACAAAGCCTCTCTCCCTGACTGGAAGGAAGTATCTCAGAGGCCCTAATCCTATTACTGCTGCTCTCTGGTCTCCCACAGCTACACCCACACCCACACCCACAGCCACAGCCACACCCTTCTTGGAGCGCCCCATCACAAGTACTGAGTACCTCCCACGGAGGCCCCTGCCCTCCTAGAAAGCCCAAGGGAAGGGCTTCCACCTCAAGACAGGGGACAGAGAGGTGGAGACAAAGCCCCCCCCGGCCTCACCTGGTGGGGGCTTGTGTCGGCCCCACCCTCCTTTGAACACTGAGACCTGTGCGTTCCTGTGGAGTCTGACACTGCCTTTGGGAGCCCCTGCCCTCGGCCTCCTTCCTCCAGTGGTAATGAGCGTAGAAGAGCAAAGGTTCCCAAGGACTCCATCCCAAAGTCCCGCGTGTCCCATCAGAAGAACCAGACCAAGCCGAGCTGACAGTTCTTTATTAGGAGTAGAGTAGGCCCCGGCCACAGTGGTCCCAATTGTGTGCACATGGCTGAGCCTCCAAAGTGAGAGCAGAGATGTTCCTCCCTCCCAAGACCAGAAGCAAAGGCTGGCTACTGTTCCACCCCTCACTACTTTGGCATCCCTAGGAAAGTGCTCCTGAGTAGCCAGGGTTAGCATTATCGGGGACCTGGTTAAGTCCAGGTTAAAAGGGTACCACAGGGAGGGTAGGAAGGGTGTGGCTACGCACCCAGGACCACCTCAGGGACAAAGACGGAGCACTAGAGCAGACTCTGCCCTTCCAGGATGGCATGCCCCTCTGGATCAGAGGCTACTGGGGGCAAGGGGGCTCAGGGGGGCAGTCTTTGAAGTACTCGTGGCAGTAGAGACAAAGGCTGGCAAGGGCACGCACGTACTCCCCAAAGTCCACCTCGCAGTCCTTGTTGGTATCCAGAACACTCATGAATTTATTGTAGTCACACTCCCGGAACTCACTCTGTGGAAGGGATGAGAAGGGAAGATCAGGAAGACCGGAATGAGGAGCCTAAGCAGCTTTCCACACCACCCCCCTCCTAAGGGTGAACCTCCCCCATTCCAACCCATCTTGATAAGACACCCATTTCCCGGCTTCTCGGCGGTGCATTTGCTGAGCACCGACTCCTCACTATGGAGAACCTGCTATGAGTTAGGTGTTATCCACAGGACAGTAAGAGTGACTGTCACCCTCCTTTACATCCTATTTTGCTAAGGCTCAGGCAGCCACATCAGCTCACTTCCTTTTGTCCCCTCCTCACAGTCCAGTCTCTCCTGAGACAGGGTTTCTCTGTGTAGCTTTGCGCCTTTCCTGGAACTCGCTTTGGAGACCAGGCTGGCCTCGAACTCCCAGAGATCCGCCTGGCTCTGCCTCCCGAGTGCTGGGATTAAAGGCGTGCGCCACCACCGCCCGGCGG